TTTGAAATCATCAAGTCATTCCCATGACCTGTCCTTTTTTGAAATCGTTAAGTCATTCTCATGACTTGTCCTTGTTTGAAATCGTCAAGCCATTCCCATGACCTGACCTTATTTGAAATCATCAAATCTTTCCCATGACCTATCCTTCTTTGAAATCATCATGTCATTCTCGTTGACCTGTCACACTTGGATAACGTGGGGGAGTCCAAGCATCAGGCCTTACTTTTCAATTTTGGGGTTTCCCTCCAAAACCTTCCACCTTCCATATTCAAATTTCAAAAAATTTTCTCCTTCATCCTTACCCTTCCACGTGTCACGCCCTCGGTTTCCCACCTGTCGCCTCGAGTTCCAAACCACCTCTCTCTCTCCTATAAATACTCCTCCAACCCATCTCATTTCTTCACTTTCCTCCTTCGCTTCTCTTGATTTGCCCGGTTAACTTTCTCTCTCTAGCTCTCTACCAAGTAAGTCCTCCAGTCCTCCTTGCCTTTTAATTCTTCCATCTTTCCATTTTTTACCGGTAGGCCTAGGTCATGTCTTCTGATAGCCAAAACATATCTGGCCAATCCTATGGATCAGGCTCTCAGCCCTCTTCCTCTTCCCATTCTGAATCTTCTTCTCCTCCACCTACTCCTTTGATCCGTCGCCCCTCCCAACAGTCTAACTCTCAGGCCCGGGAAATAATTGCCCAGGAGCCTGTCCCTTTGAATCAACTGCCCGGTCGATTCAATCCCAAGGTCCTCAGCTGGGACCAGTGGGAAGAACGATTGGGATCAATGGGCTACCTAGCCCTTGACTCAGGACCGGTCTTTAAAGAGTCCTCTAGGGTTACAAAAAAGGTCCTGGCCGAGGTACGCTTTGTCCTTCCACCGGGCTATAAAGTCATTTCTAACACCACCTGGCCCAACATCATAGAACCCCACCAAGGAAACCGATTAGGTTTTCACGTCGCTTCGCTAGAGGGGGGCATTATCTTTCCCCTTCGCCCCCTCCTCGTAGAAATCTGTGATAAGTTCAAGATTTTGCCCGACCAGCTTACTCCAAATGCTCACCGGTTCTTGAATTGTTTTGTAAATATTTGTGAATCTCTAAAAATCACCCCTTCTTTAGACCTCTTCCTTCATATGTATGATGTCTTGCCTGGGACTATTAATTGCCCGGGCTTTGTTTACTTCCATTCCCGTGCCAATTCTAGGGGTTTTTTGACCGGTCTTCCCCCTAGCCACAAGAAATGGAAGCAAAGATTTGTTTTCGTTGAGTTCCCCCCTGACCAATTTCCACTCTCCAACCGTGAGTGGGCTGACTGGGTTATAAAACCTGAAAGGGTTCACCCGGAGCCCACCAAGGAGCTAGAGGAAGCCTGCGAGAAACTTCTCAAGGGTGATCCTGTGACCGGTAAGCCATACGCCTATGGTGGATGGGTATACCGGTTACCTAACCCGGATGGGGGTGCGTCTGCGACTCATGACGCTGAGGATAACCGGGCTGATTCCCCGGATGGTCACGCTGAGGCCGGCTCTCCTCATCCAGGTTGGTTAATTTTCCTCAACCTTTTGATTCCACATTCATTTTGATAAGGTGTAAAATCTAACCGGTTACTTTGTTATTTTTGGCAGACATGAACTTCAACAGGATGACCACCATCATTGAAGATGACGACGATGATGTCCAAGTCCTCCACTCCAACCGGTCTCCTCTCTCTAACTCTCCTTCTCCTCCTCATTTCCCTGGAATGGATGGGGCCACAAGTGCCCGGTGTAGCCCTGTCCATGATCAGAGCCAAAAACTGAACTCTCCTCCAGCCACCCATCTCTTTGAAAGTGACCGGGTCCCTTATCCCAAGAAGGATGTCAAGGCCAAAGGGAAGGTGACCGGTCATTCTTCTTCTCAGAAAAGGAAGAGTTCCCACAAGACTTCCAGGGGGGAAAGGAGGAAGAAGGTCAGGCTATCAGATCTAGAAGGGGAGTCCATTGAAGTGACATTTTTATCCTTGGCCCAGAAACTCAGCAAGGTACCAACTCTGATTTTCCTTCCGGTTTAATTATTTCCTTTGCTTTTACTGACAAGCTTGTTTTCCAGGTTGGAGTTCTATCCGAAGAAGTTGGCCGGTCACTCTTGGAGTCCAAGGACCAGGTCTCCGAACTTACCCTCCTTCTTGATTCTGCCAAGTTGGAGATCAATGACCGGGTCGAGAGGGAGAAGAGACTTGAAGAGGAGCTGAAGGAAGAGAGGGCCAGGCTAGACGAGGAAAGAGCCAAGCTGGTGGAGGCGAAGAGGAAGTTAGTAGAGCTGGAGGGTGCCTTGGCCCAAGCTGAAGAGACTGCCCGGTCAAAGGAGCAATCCTTTCCTGATGATGCTGCACGATGGGTGGCCGGACATCATGTCGAGACTGCCCGGTCCATTCTAGTTGGGCCAGAGGAGACAATGGCCTTCTTCAAGACCATGTACAAGGAGCCGGAGGGAAAAAAGATGATAACCGATATCGGTTCATATGGTTTCCAATGCGGTCTGAAGGATGAGAGGTCACTCCTCTACTCCAGGCTTCAGAAGAGGGACCCTTCCTTTGACCCGGCCAAAGTGAAGCTTCCAGCCCTGTACAAGGAAGAGCCAGCTCCCCCCTTTCCCCTTGAGTAGGTTAGGGTATGTTTTCAAACACTAAATTTTCCCAAGGCCTGGGGGATGTCCGGCCTACTTTTGATTTGTATGAAACTTAAATCCTCTTGGCACGCCTTTATCTTTTACCGGTCGATCTGCTTCAATTTGCATGGTTGAACTTCTTTTCTATGCATGGTTATTGTTTCTTGAATGATAGCTTTTCTTTTCTTTTTCTTGATCGCCTTTGGATGAACTTCCAAGTCAACAAAACTAACCGGCCTTATACCTTAGGAATCGTCTTAAAGAACGTCCAGGCCATCTCATGTCCTGGTCTTGAAAACGCCCAGGCCTCATTGGCTTGGTTGACAATTTTATTGAATATGCTTGATTCCAAGTCAAAAGAAGTAACCGGCTTTATCCTTTGTAGTTGTCCAGGTCACCTCATGTCCTGGTCTTTGGTTAACGCCTTAGAAATGTCTAGGTCTGATAGGCTTTGTTGACAGCGTCCAGGTCGTTTCATGTTCTGGTCAATTTTCATCTCTTGAAAATGTCCAGGTCATGTTATGTCCTGGTCAAGTACAAGCCTTGAAAACATCTAGGTCTTGCAACCTTGAAAACGTCCAGATCTTGTAGCCTTGAGAGCGTTCAGATCACTTTATGCCTGACTAGTCTTCTGGACCGGCTTGTGTCTAGGTTGAACTGCAACAAACGTCCAGGTCATCTCATGTCCTGGTGTAGTAGGCTAGGTTGGAAGTTTTGAAGACCACCTTAGACGCAAAGGCTTGAAAACTTCCAGGTCATCTCATGTCCTGGTTTCTTGACTTGAAAACGTCTAGGTCGATTTCTTCCCCGCTTGTCTTCTGACCCAATCAACTTCCAGGTTAGAATGTGACAATCGTCTAGGTTGAATTCTTCCTGACCAACTACTAATGGCTTGGTTGCAATATGTAACCAGCATGACGTCAAATTTCCTGTCCAGGTGCCGGGTCAAAAATGTGACCGGTCGAAAAATATTTTTTCCAGATTTGTCTGATTTCATCAAATCCGCCAACTAAAAAGTGACCGGTCACTTTTCTCAAAGTTGACCGGTCAAATTTTAATTTTTTCCCATTCGCATTTTCTTGTCAATCCAGAACATAAAAAAGTGACCGGTCACTTTTGACCATGCCACCTTTTTTCCCCCTCTGGCCTGGGTGTCATGCCTAACAGCAACCTTGCTCAAATTTCGAACGAATAATCCGAAACGGTTTTGGAATCATCAAGTCTCAACATCAAGACCCGAACTTTCTTCGGAGATTTTGACTATGTCCTATGATTGCGAACCCTCTCCAAGGTTCAGCCCTCTTCCAGGCAACACCCTTCTTCCAGGGCCCCTCTTCCAGGTTTTAAGTCTTTTAATGTGCCATCCTTTAATCATTAGGTTGACCTAGCCAACCCAATCTTCCCATCGTGGGGGTATGCCGGTGAGAACCAGCCCTCATCCAATCTTACATGTCCATATGTTATGCGTTTGAAGTGAACTCTAGTCTTCCCTAGACCCTTCAATCCGCAAAGGATGGCTCATGCAAGACGGTAATCATTTTTTACTTTGGCAACTTTTTGCCCCTATCCAAATGAAAATTTGGTAGGGATCCATGTAAGTATGGACGCGAGTCCTCTTCCAGACCCAGCCTATCTCAAGGCTATACCTCAACATCAAGGCCCCTATCTCAAGGGTTTATCTTTTTTTTTTGACCTTGCCTCTTACATCGAGACAAGTTATTTTAGCATCACTCATATTGAAGAAAGCTTTTATTCATCATCAAAGGGGGTATTACAAATGCATGTCTTGCCATTTGGCCTATCGGTAGAATTTTCTAAGGTGGTGGGAATTCCAGCACCTTTCCAATTCTCGACCTTCCATTGTTTCCAACTTGTATGTCCCCGGGCGTAGTATTGCCTTGACCCTATATGGACCTTCCCATTTCTTCGCAAGCTTTCCACCATCACCCGGTTTGCTGGCCTCCCTTCGTCTCAGGACCTCATCACCGACTTGGAAATAGCGAGGCCCTACCTTGTTATCATGGTAGGCCTTGGCTGCTTGCTGGTACTCTATCATTTTAGCCTCAGCAACCATCTGTCTTTCCTCCAACAAGTTCAACTCTGCCAAATGGTCCTCCTCATTCCCTTTCTCCTCATAGATCTTTTCCCGGAAGGTCATTATCTTTGCTTCAATGGGTAGTCTGGCCTCACATCCATAAGTAAGGACGAAAGGTGTCTACCCGGTGGCCCTTCTCGAAGTGACTCGGTAAGCCCAGATGATATGTGGCAATTCCTCTAGCCAATTTGTTTCTGCCTCGCCCAACCGCTTTTTAATCCCATCTACTATTGTGCGGTTCGCATTTTCCACCTGACCATTCCCTTGCGGGTAGGCCACGGAAGCCTTGTTGTGAGTAATCCCGAAGTCCTCCAAGTATTTGGTGAACCCTAGATTCCGAAATTGAGGCCCGTTATCCGTCACAATGTTTCGAGGAGACCCGAACCTGGTGATTATATTCTTCCAGACGAAGCGCTGGCACTGCTTGGTTGTGATGGTTGCATATGCCTCGGCCTCTACCCATTTTGTGAAGTAGTCGATAGCAACCATGACATACTTCTTCCTCCCTTGTGCTTGGGGGAAGGCTCCAATGAT